GCATATATATATATATATATATATATATATATATATATGTAGATTTGTGATGAACACTTTCCCATATCAAGTTCTATACTTATCAACTATGGTGTAAACTTATTATTGAAACCAAATTTTTTTCAACTCATTATCTGACAGGTGGAATGTAGATGGTCAGTTCGTGTGTAAGATGGGCACAGAAAGTTTACAGAAATAATTGTGCGGTAGGGATTTATTGTACATTCCCAACAATCCAAGCTGAAAGCATCGCTCTTGCCAGCCGTTGCATTTTTTTAGTACCTGAATGGAGAATGATGTATTTTTGAAGTTTGAAAATTTCACAGATGAACTAATTGAAACTGTATGTACTGTATATAAAGTACTGATTCTGAAAGCAAAGATAGATGAAGACAGCAATGACAAATTTTCAAGTATTAATGGATAATGCAATGTATGTTTGTTTTCACTTTGGGTAGTTAGTGATGGAAACATGACAGCTGGATGACTATTATGAAAATTTCTGTATACCCTTTGTGCAAGACCTATAATCTGCATTTTCTTGGCCATCAGCATTGTTTTAAGTTATTTTTCATTTGGGAAGGAGTAGAACTATACAAACGGAAAAATAACTACATTCCAAAATATGTAGATGTTTAATGGAAATTAATGTTCATCTGAAGATGGAGAAGGGCCATAGAATATCAACTCAGGTATCTGTCCACCTTGGACTCCTGTCCCATTTGTGCTTTCAGATGAACACTGAAACTGGAAGGTTACACATCCAACAGTCACTTCGCTCATTCCTTCCTGACCAAAGTAGCTTAGTTCACTGCCATCTAAGATTGCTGTTGCAGTGTAGAAGGACTCTGGCTCTATTTGAATAGGATGTTCGAAGTACACATGGAAAGTATTGCTTGACCCGTCTGAAAAAAACTTAGTGTTGTTTTCTGCCATAACTCGACCCAGACGCTTCAGCTCGATCTTAACATTGTAATCAGCAGCACCTCCAGATGACCCGTACAATCCAAATCCCATCACAAAGATCCGTTTGTCAACGCTGAATTGAATACTATCACAGCGTCCCCGATAACGCCACTGATTGCTTCGATAAGCACATGACTGGAAACGATGGCAAACCTAAAAAGTATAAAAAAACATTAGTAAGTTCCTTCTGCAGAAAATTAGAGTATTCTTGCATGTGTTTAGGGCACAAAGAAAATGACAATCTTCTACAGATCATTAAGACTAAAATAACAGGTGGTAAAATGAAAGTTAAATACCTGAGGTTTAAGGCCAGCACGTGATTTGATGGGGTAACTGAGCTGAGGTTTGTTATGTGCTGTGAAGTGAAGGAAAATGTCAATTGTTTCTTGTAGTGTAAGAATCCCCAGTTGTGCAGCTCCATTAGCAAACTCTTCCAGACTCATAGTGGGTATGCGCACCAGGTACAGTGCACTACCCAGAACAATGCGCTTGTTCTGTGGAGTAGCTTCCAAATCTCGTCGTCCACATTCAGCAGCTGCCCAGTTTAGTGCTGCCTCAAACAGATGCATCTCTTTACAGTTGAGTGTCTCACGGGCCAGAACAGATTCCAGTGTATGGATGTCGATGTCCACAAAGCCCTCCGACCTCAAAGCCATTTCAGCCTTTGAAATACAAAAGAATTATGTTAGGAAAGAAAAGAAATATTGTCTTGAGACATTAGATTCTAGAAAATGCACTGTGGTGAGCTGTACAAGCAGTTTTAATTCTTTTTTGTAGTTGGGTTACAAAAATTTCAGTAGTAGTACTTTTGACATGGGTAAAAATATGAGAAGCACACATCTCATCACAGATACTAGACAAAACAGTATAATTATCAATTTGTGTAAGGATTTCACACGTAATACAGCTATAGCACCCTATTCTGCTGAATTTCAGACATCTTGTGACATGGCATTGTCTAGAGCTATCAGATATTAAAAGAAAATTCAATAATTTCAAAATAAGGCATAAAACATTCTATTAGTATTCTTTAGGGAATAAGATGAATAGCATAAGAATTCATACTGGCTCATTACAAGCAGAATATGAAATGGAATAAAATGGATGCAAGATGGTTGTGGTAATTATTTAGACTCATGGGCACTGCAAGCATTTCTTTTTACAAGGGGGCAGCCAGCTAAGGAAAGAGTCAAAAACCTGAGGCTGAATTTGATAAGGAAGATGTTAATTTTTGTATTAGGATATAAGAATAAAATTCCTTTTCAAAAATATTATAATTTTTTATATTAACATTTGGTATGTATCCTTTCTTTTCAGTTTTGAATTTTTTTTTTTACAAAAATCCACTGGGGAGGCAGATATCTGGCAGCTGCCCATGTTTAGACAAAGCTGAAATAATTATAATGGGAATAAAAGAAGTTGAGGGTTTTGCATTGATAAAAAAGAATTGAGGTGACATTCTGCTTCTGCCTGCCTCAAATACTGATGAACAGGAGTTGATTAGGAATGTAACAAGCAGTTAGGGTAGATCTCATAAATCCCACATTTGTACCGAAATGGTTTCCAGTCCTAAAAAATCTTGTGTTCTTAATGTAGCATTTTGGGTCTTGTAGATGGTCATAGGGTCAAATCCTACTTGAGTCAGAATTTGTTTATAAGTTGCAAGTTACAGACTTAATATTTTATTTCTGGGAAGAACCTGCTAATAAAATGCAGATTCTATGTTAAGTTCATGGGATATAACTCATCACTGTTGCCAGGTTTTCAGTTATAGATTTATAATTAGTATTCATAAATGTATGTAGGAATATTTGTAATTTATCTTTATATAAAATATATTCTTAGCTGCAATGGTCCATTAGTTAATGCTGTTAGACTGAAAACTAAATGACAGTTGTATGTGGCCATGATGTTTTATATTCTACAAGCTTGGGTTCATTCTGTCATAATTCTTTGGAAGAGATGGCAGACCTAGGCATGGATGGGAGGAAAATACTTAGGAAATAAGATGTAGAAAGGATTCAACTAACTTGGTCATGTGGCAGGGTAATGATTGGTTTCCATAAAAAGCATGGAATGTCTTGACTAGCTGAGTGACGACCACTTTCTCAGAAAGGACTCTGCTCTATGGAGTTAATTAATATCAAAACATAACTGCTTTCTTTGCAAAATCAGTCATATATGTACTGAAATGTAAGCAAATATGGTTTTAAAATATGCTGTAGAGTATTTCACAAATGTTACACAGAGAACATATTCAAGAGCAGATATCTCAGATGAGGTATGTGAAAAATTTTCAGTGAGGCTTATACAGAACCAAAAATGGTTTAATTTTTTTAAAGTAACTGTATAAATGAACATAACTGTAGTTGTAAAATACATATGTAAAGACCAAGTCATGTGCTACAGAGAGTGCACTTTATAGCAGAATATACATATATATATGTGGGGGATGGAGAAGAGAAGGATAACACAGTTTATGGATTACTGAATTTCCACCTGATAATTTTATTGGTTTCAAAATATCTAAAAGGAATACCTTTCATGCAATATGTGATGAAAAGAGATGTGAACTTGGGCTGCACTGGCCAGTTAAATATGGCAATTTACTTGGAAACCAAAATTAACATCCATATTTATCTCATTAACATTATGCCAGAATTTAAAAATTTCTAAAATTCATATGTATTAATCAGATTTTTGTTTTATGCCAAGTAGGAATTTTGCATGATAAATATTTACAAAATTCTAAAATTTTATTTTACAGTGCAAAATGCCTCCCCAAATCATCTTTCAGTCAATGTTCTGCACTTGGCAATCACTGCACTGAGGTGCATGCAACAAATCTAACAGCTGACATCCTTTACCCGTAGTTGGTGTCTCACTACTGGCCAGGAACTGAACTGAGGGAAGGGAAATTTAGTTTAGTTTAGAATGATTTGACTGACATGACCCTGCAGTTTCCTTGTCTAAATTTAGATGAAACAGGGATCATTTACAGATTCAAAGAAATGGGTTATTCAGATGGGGCATGAAATGCTAAGGTTGTTAAAACACCTTTGAAAAAAAGCAAGTTGAGTGTGCTGGAAACACTTCAACCATACAGGATCAAAAAACAGTTTTTGTTTGATTAAAATTGATTAATTGGACATATCATCTTAACTAGGTCTAAATTAAGCTTTAATTGCAGTCATCAAGGTAAATATATACAAATTAAATGAAAGAAAGGGAGGAATACTTAACCTCAGTAACATTTTTCAGTAACTAAAGGTGATTCCGTGCACAGAAACATGGTTTATTCTGTCATCTAGTGGGTGATATTTAATGTACGCTACGGTAGTAAACAATTTGCACATAACTTCCTGTGTTGAACATACTTGAAGGCCAAATGAAGAGGGTCAAAAACATTAGCAGAAATTACAAAGTAATAAGAACAAAACATATTTAGAATTGCAAGTTGTAAACAAATGTTACTTCAAGCAGGATTCAATCATATGACCATCTGTGCACACATGCCCAGCATGTTAGCCCACAAAAGAAATTACATTTCATTATCTGCATTAACTAAATATAATATTAATGGCATTATTTGTATAATTTCAGTTGAAATTGGGTTTGCTTTTAATCAAGATAATAAATGTTTTGTTTTCATATACTTTAACACAAAATAAATAGGTTAAGAGAAATACCAGCATATGTTGCATGTATTTCATTTACTGAATAAGTTTCTAATATGAGTATAAACACAAAACTGTGACATCCTCTTAAAGCGGCCCATCCACGTACGAGTCTGGCTTGCGAGTCCGGCTCGGCTCGGGTTCCATTGAGCCAAACTCGTTTGTGGGTGGGGTGTCACGAGCTGAGTCTGCTATGCATGTATGGTGAAATATATCCGAACCCGGCTCACGAGTCAAGCTCGCCAAGCCAGACTCGTATGTGGATGGCCCGCTCAAGATAAACAGTGCAACAGTATAGGAGAAAGACTAAAATCAAGTTCATTTAATTTTAGTGAAAGTAATAGTAGATGTTATTGTCTCATTAAAGCTATTCACAACAAGTAGGAGCATTCAGAATGTCAAGGTGCAGAACACACGTGGAAACCCTGCATACTCCAGTACAAATTGCACCTTTCCAATTTTGATATGCATTGTGGCACAGATGGGGATGCAGGATGCATACAGAATTTTGGTGGGAAAACATGTTGGAAGGTGACTACTTGTTAGACTGAAAAGGAAGTGGGAGAATAATATTAATCTTTACCATCATTGCGATATAATGTACATGAGATTCAGCTGGCCGTTTCACACAAGCATACCGCTAAACCATTAACCCCAGAGCTGAAGTCCAGCCAGCAGCCCCATAATATGGGGACTTTGATCCCAAATTCCCATATGATGAATGTGAATTTGGGGTTTAGGAATGGAGGCTGTAATGGGAGGTGGATGTAACTGAGTCAGAATTGTCCTGTGGGGACCTCTGCTGTTAGCAAAACTGAAACTGAAAATCACAAATACATGCATCATTTTATATTAAAACAAGGCCTCTTGAGCTCCTTATAACATATCATATAAACCAGTGGTATTTAATTTGTAGCTCTGCAAATGAACAATTAATAAACAAATATCTGCATTCCAGATATTATAAAGAAACGGAAATACTTAATTATTATGTTTTAATGTTTTTTTATTTTGGTATCATCTCAGCATTCAGCAGTGATGATAACACTGTATAAATCTTGTTTTGAATGTTCAGTGCATTTGAGAACAATCTTTATGTCTGCACTGTTTATGTTTTATATTAATTTCCTAAAGACACTCTTAACATTCAATAAGAAATTAAGGTATGGACTTGGGAATTATAAGTAAATGTGTGTACATGTAAATACCACACAAGAGAGAGGATATTTGTGTTTTACACATTCCATGGGATGTAACGACAGAAGGCATAATATTTATTTCTGTACAAATAATTCCTAACTGCTTACTCTGCATACTGATGTTCATTGCAGAACATGATATATTAAAATCTTTTCTGTGTCATATTGTACATCTGCATTTCTCTTTTTGTAAAATAAATAGTCTGAGTGCAGATTACAATAGTAAGAATAGGTGGGCCACAGCACAAATTTTATTACAGCACAGATCTTAAGTAGTTACTACGTATGAACATGCACATCCCTCTAAAAACAATCTGTTACCAGTGCGAATGAAAGGCAAATACTAAGCATAACGTCACTGTTCATTAGTATCCACGTAACAAATTATTTTTCACTGGTATGCCACCTTGTGTTACTTCGTATATCTGACAGGAAATCTCATTTCAAATTTTGCAATAAAATGCATTATAAGGAAATTGAATTAGCAGAATAAGGCAGCGCAATTACACATTAATGCATTTCCCAGTTAACCCTTACAATTATAACAATATGGAATAGATAACTCATTAATTTGGTAAATAAAATTGTTTGTAATAATTATGGTGATAACGTAAATACTCGAAGCTGTGTCTGTAACTGAGACCATCTAGATATGAAACAACGCCATGTACAGTGCAGAAAAAGTTATTTACACTACAGCACACTGACATATTAGACAAAGTGTCAATATTTTACATACTTGAACTGGACAAAGTTATAATTGGCTTTTACTTGATATGTATCATAAAACTTGGGATGTTCTTGGTAGGATTTGAGGTTTTCACAGCAGTGAGTCCGAAGATGGCTGTCTTCTGGGTTGCTGCGCCCTTCATCGGGGCAACCTCTGAAATGTTGGTAAACTTCTACCAGACTACACAGTGCAACAACCCAGAAGACAGCCATCGTTGGGATATAGAAAGAGTAAACTGGAAATTTACGTCTGAAGGAACATTAAGCAAAATTATAATAGATGTATAAAACAAGCATGGTCTACACCACATCTGAAAAATTTCTTGGTCCCTGCATGACTGACATATTAATAAATAGAAATGTTTTTGCACTACTCCAAACACATCTTTTAGTTCAGCACAGATGAAGATTCTCATGAGGTGAAACGATGTGGGTTATGCAATGATGGTATTAATATTACTACATAGCATTAACCTTTACTGTACGGGAATAGATTTAAACCCCTGCACAATGGGGTTGCTGGACAAACTTGACTCTGGGGTTAATGGTTTAGTGACATGCTACCCTGTGAGGAATTTGCAACATAGGGTCAATAAAGGTTAAATTCCTTTGAAATATTTATAATGGCGATGTAATTATTTCACTGTTATTATCATTATTGTTGACATGAAAATTACTTACAAAACAGTATAGGCTGTATCTCTTTATACTAATGAAAGAATATTATTATATAGCTTTTAAAGTAAAAGTTGGACCACATTTTTATTTTATAACTTTTATATGAGGGAGGATGCACTTCTGAAGGTTTACAAATATGGGAAATTTAAGTGGGGCTGTTTGTTTTACAGCAATGTCAGATTGTCAGTTTTCAGCTGCCTTATGCACAGAATTGAAAAAAATACAGAAGCATGATTACTCAGTTTCTTTTCAAGCCTAATATAAGTTTCAGGTATAAATTGTCACTTTACTTCAGTGTCTGAAGTAGAGTTTGAAGACTAATAGTGATAGTCTTTGTTCATCATCAAATCATATTAGTTTACTTCTGCCTTCTATGGAAGATTATTGTCAGTGGAATGTAATTAAAACGTTTTCACCAACAGGAAGTTATGTGCATGTACATTTTGTACCCCATTTTTCTTAATACCTGTTTGTTTATGGTTGTAAGTTTACTGGGAAAGATGAAGTTATGATTATGTGCAGCCTTCATTTTCAAGTTATGACATCACATACAGAATTTTAGAGACCCATATTTGATATTCATATGCACTTTAATCTTACAAAATCCACCTATTGACCTTAACACAATTGAGATGACACAGGTAAATTCAGGGAAGGAAAGAAAGTATATCAGATGACTCACTGAAAAGGGCTCACATATTAAGAATTTTACCACAGACTACTTCCATCTTCTTGTACAATCATAGCAAAGTCCACAAGGCTTGTGACAGTTCTATTCTTTCTTATTCACATAACAGCACCCAATTTTCAAAATACACCAACTTAGTCATCTCTGAAATTTATATTAAACTGCTTAAATTTAATTTTCATTAATTTATAATCAGTAAGCTGATGTGCCTCTAAACACACACACATTTTCCAGTATCTAACACCTTCTTTAAAAGGGACAGATATTTTAGTAGGATCGGTGCATAGATAGTGATAATTAAAGAAACTGAGATGTAACCCATATTTAGTTTAATAAAAAAACATTTACAGCCTTAAAATAAATTATTCTGGTTTCAAATGTAATGAAATTTAATTCACAAATGCCGAAATAAAAAGATTTAATTATAAATATGGCAGTGATAACACAATTACATTTAAAGCATGCCACCAGCACTGGCAAATAATGTAGTGTGAAGACACGAGCTATAGTTCTAAATTACAAAAGAAAGCAACACATGAAAGGAAATGTTATTTAACTGTGCGCGCACACGCACACAAACATTTATGACGACATTCTACCGAGTTCAGTAATGGCCAAAGTTTGATATGATGCGATGGCATATTTCTGCAACTTTATATAATAATTTGTAAGATGAAAGGGTTCATCACTGAATACAATCTTTATGAAAGTGGTATATTTTGGCAAACACACATGATTGTCAGCTGACACTTCTCAATTTTTCACTCTTTGTACACATCTGACCACTACTGACTGAATTAAGTTGTGCAAGATATGTGTAGCATGATATACCATTTATACACTATGACTTGAAACACTGAAGTTAAAACACCTAACAGTCTAAGGATATGTTGTTTTTTTATGCGATAATTCACTGATTCAGTTTGTCATGAAGGTGTGAACAATCCCCCACAGAATAAATGCAATTAATCATAAACTGCAGCATGTCTGATGCCCACATGATTAGAAATAAACTGAATTCTTTTGGTATTATGTACACTTTCAAATATATTAAATTTGATTTATTTACTGATAAAACATTCTTAATCTAATATCCAATGCAGAAACAGAAACAATCCAAAGAAAAACTGACGCTTCTGGTACCGTTGTAAATTGTATACATATCAACATATACCATACATTAAAATCTAATAAATGGTTCATATTGAGTATTAATGAAGGAAATTTGTTTTTACAATTGAATGAATACAGTAATCTGTTTAGATTTCATTACATATGTAACATCTGATAAAGATGGCTGTCTTCTGTTATGTAGTACCATGTAGTCTGGTAGATATTGACAGATGTTTCAGCCCTGGTGATGGAGGCAGTAAGCCCCTCTGTAACAATGGTCAATATCTGCTAGACCAGTGGTATTCAACCTGGGGTGCGCGAAGACATCTTAGGGGGTACGTGAAATTTAAAAATATATATATATTATTTTATGATGAACACTCAATAATCAGTAATATAATTTATTTTTGATGTAGATTATATACTATGTATAACTTGAATTATACACTGACTTTGGGGGTACAAAGTTGAAGAGAAATTATATCCGGGGGGTATCCGAACAAAAAAGGTTGAATACCACTGTGCTAGACTACATGGTGCTACATCTCAGAAGACAGCAATCTTCTTACTCATCACTGTGTGAACCTCAGATCTCATCTGAAGTCTGCTGTTTGATAGTATTTTAATAAGGCGTGCCACTATTTTAGTTTCCCATTTAATACTAAAATGGATGTGTCCAGCAGGATAACATAATAGCATTAAAGTTAATCAACCATACTGAAGGCATGTGCGCAATGCCACCAAGGGTAAGGGAACACATAACAAGCTAAAGAATTAATTTGTTTTTAATTAGGCCATCCAGTAAATGGAAACATAATGCTAAGTTTCATTTATAGTACTTTGGGTTTTTGGAGTTTTCATTACCTTCTTTTAGGCTTATATAAATGTCACATTCCTCATTTAATCACCGAAGTATTAAACCATCATATCAATAAAGGAACCGATGCATACAAAAATGGCCAATTATCCAATTAGCTTAAACTGGATTCTCATCATCTTGGGTATACAAAATTGTGGGAACATTGTTACAAAATACATTTGCCCATGTTAAGTGTTTCTACTTTGCCCGAGGTTACGAATTTCATGTTATACAATCATCAATTAATCTTTTATAGCTTAACAATTTGGATGACTAGATAAGCTTGACAAGGCTCAGTAGAATATATGTTCTGTTTCACAGAGTTGGAAAATCATTTGATAATGTCAAAATGCATCAAATAAAGAAACATTTTTGCTACAAAAACAACAGGACTTGACTTTTGTACGCGTGATACGATAATCTGATAGGGATATGTTATGATGATATGATCCTCTCAGCTTCATTGCACTGAGGGCTCATCATATGATATGAATCTGAACTTGATTCAAGTTGTAAAGTGCTCAGCGACTGAGAGAGACGTACCTGGGCATCAATGACTTCCCAACATCTCTGCATTAACTCTGGTTCCTCAAATAATCTTGACTGACTCAACAAGAGGCAGGCATTTTTTGCAGTAAGACTTGTTTCCAAATAGTTGACACATGCCCTTGCCAAATGTGGAACTATGTACTTCTTCGCTACATATAGTGTAGCTAGCACAGTGTCAGCCTCAAGCTGAATTTCATCACAGTAAAGATATCTGTAAATAAAAATGTGAAATTACATCTTTGTATTTATCTTGCATTAAGGAAGGGTTGGGAAATTTCCAGGGGTTCACTTGCTCTGCAAATAAAAATATTATGTTGGTACCTACAATCTTACAATTTAATTATACTACAATTTTAAATAGAGATTATTTGGCTTTTAGCAGGCATGACTGATATATCTGGAAAATAAGACATAATTTAATTTTATGTTTAAATATAAATGTGAATTTAATACATACCAAAATTAGGTTTAACGTGTTATATTGCCTGGGATACAGGGTAATGCTCTTATAGTATATTACTTATCTAATATACTGATATGTAAATATATGACAAACAGTACATAATCTTTTACTTACACCTAGGTGTACCAGCTAACACTTCCTCAATATTAATTAATTAAACTTGTGAATCATATGCACCAGTTAGTACTAAAATCACATTTAAATTATATTTAATGCATCCATCTATCCTCTGCTCATTCTAATAAAACGTTACATAACTGGGGATATTTACATTATTTAAGTCTGCAATACTTTCTCTTTTTTGTAAATATGTAAACAAAGCACAAAAATTCACTAAAGTCCTCACATGTGATGGTGCATCATTTAATGGTTATGTTCAAAGGTTTTGTTTTAGGCCTGTATTTCAGTCAGCGAGTATTAACAATAAAATCTGTCATGAAAATTTCATCATGGACAGAATATGCAATATTAGGTCACAAATGTACACCTGGACTGTTTCTCACTCTGTGGTCTGTGAACTGATACTGTAACTTTCTGTTCAGATCCAGATAAAAAAGTAATCAAAGTCATTTCAGTAAGTTCAGAGATGATCTAGTGTATGTATAATCACT